ACGTTAATATTCATGGATCGCCACGGATCAGATCCGGTTGACAGATTGATGATCAAAGCTCTTACTTTACGAAGGAAGTAATCGTTGCAGCGGTAATCTTGACCAAGCGAGATTACGGCTCTTCTCGAGATTTAAGACCAAGCTTAAATCCAGAGGAATAGGGGACGGGTCTCAGATCTCTCGAACTCTACTCTTTATGCATAGGAGATCGCCAAGGTCTAGCTAACCCTCTCTGAAATTCGTGGCTATGCACTCGAGAAACCGGCAACATCTCGCCCTCTTGATTTTCAGCCCCTTAGAAATGAGCACCCGAGCTCGTATTTATAGGCTTCGGATGCGGGTCTTTGGATAAGAATGAGAGATTCCTCCTTATCTTAGGTTAGTAATTGATTAACCATAGTATCAGATCAGTTAGGATGCTCCGGAACAAACAAATCCCTAGAAAAACCGTCAAAATCGAAACAGGATCAAATCTGGCGATGCGTCACCCGATGGCTCGGCCTTAGCCGAGCCACCATTTGGTGACCTGGCTATGGGCCGAACCACTAGTTCGGTCGAGTCATATGACTCGGCCACCAGCGACTTTTATTGGTTTTCTGGGTTTTGACTTGTTCTGTCGTTACGCGTATTTCGTCGTTTCGTTGACTTGTACGCTATTTTAGTGGCTGATGAGCATGCGGGACACTTAGAGATGGCTGACAAGTACACGAAACACTTGGAGCTGGATGACAAGTGCACAGACCACTTGGAAGTAGCCGGTGAGTGCACGGGCCAGTCGGTTCGTCGATTTGGTGGTCGATGGGCGTGCGGCTCACTTGGTTCGCCGATTTGGTGGCCAATGGGCGTGCGGGACACTTGGAGCTGGCTGACAAGTGCACGGAACACTTAGAGCTGGCTAACAAGTGCACAAACCACTTGGAAGTAGCCAGTGAGTGCACGGGTGTTTGTTGGAAATTTGCAGTAAAAAGACAATGAAAGAAAAATTGACTTGTATTCCTCTCAAAATCAATTACAATTTGGATTCCGATTACAAAAGAGAGGAGAATGGATTTGATTCTCCCCTTTGTTTAATTCTGGGTTCTTCACGGTGGCGATGAGATGCCTCCCTCGAATGCTCGCGTCGAGTTTGCTTCTCGTTGACGATCCGAACGTCTTGATTCACTGGAACGTGATTTTCTCCTCACGATTTGACGCTGTAGAGAACTTACGTGGCAAGTTTTAAAAAAATAACTCTTAACGAGTTAATAACTCAGAGCCAGTTTTAGAAGAACTGGCAGAGCAAGTTGGAAACTCTGGACGAGTTGATCACTCTGAACGAGTTTATCTCTATGAAAGAGTTGATTTAAACCGAAAGTTCGGTTAATAAGCCAAGGATGAAGAAGATCCTGTTGCTGGTCTCCAAAACTCCAACAATTCCCCTCAAAAGCTAGCCGAAGATCTCTTCTTTGGTCCCCCCTAAAAAAAAGGCCCGAACTCAGTTGAGTTTCCCACTATTTATAGGGGATTAAGGGTGGTAACTACCCCCTTAATCCGCTCCTCAATGGGCTGAGTGGGGTGTAACCGCCCCCTCTTAAACAGCTTCCTAAATCGTGGGTAAAACGGTTTTGAAACCGTTCTGTTAGTGCTTTGAACGAGTCAAAATGCCAATCTGGGCGTTCTGGACCTTAACTCTACGTCTTAGAGATGAGACGCAGAGTTGGGTGCTTGCTGGGAGTTGAAAACGCAAGGGCCGCTTGCGTTTAGACCTTAACTCTGCGTCTTAGAGATGAGACGCAGAGTTGGACGCTCGCTGGGAGTCGAAACGCACAGGCCGCATGCGTTTTAGAGATGAACTCTGCGTTTTAGGCTAAAAACGCAGAGTTGAGCCTATTTCAGGCTGAAAACGTACAGGTCGTGCTGTTTTAGAGATGAACTCTGTGTTTTAGGCTGAAAACGCAGAGTTGAGCCTATTTCAGGCTGAAAACGCACAGGTCGTGCTGTTTTAGTGATGAACTCTACGTTTTAGGCTGAAAACGCAGAGTTGAGCCTGTTTTAGGCTGAAAACGCACAGTTGGGCCGTTTTAGAGTTCGTGCTGTTTTAGAGGTGAACTCTACGTTTTAGGCTGAAAACGCAGAGTTGGGCCGTAACTCTGCGTTTGATGTTATATCACAAGGATAACCTCTGCGTTTTGAGGTTATAACGCTGGTTCGACCTGTGCGTTTTGGCTCTGTAATACAAAGGCGAACCTTAGGCGGGCTTGGCGAGCTTCAAGCTAAGTCCAATGTTCTGACGAAGTCCGGTCTTGCTGACGGACTTCAGAACATAATTTGCTACGAAGAACAGGTCATAACTTTTAAACCGTAAGTCGGAATTGGGCGAATTATATATGAAAATCGTCTATCTCGACGAGACAGAGCCATCCAAACCGAGCCAAAGGCTTCGGTTCGCTTCCTCCGTTTCGTCAAATTCCTTACGGTTTGAGAGATATCTGCATTCTAATATGAAGAGACCGTCAATTTGTAGTCTATTATGCTAGAGCTTTGCACAGATCATCCTCTTGTAATCTTCGTCTTTGTTCCTTAAAAATATGAGAGTTGTCAGATTGTAACTCCCGATGTTGATTGTGAATGCTGTTGAATTAGAGCTTTCATCAGTTGTCGTGAAGGTCGTCAGATTGTAGCCTTCTACGTGAAAGTCCTCAAATTGTAGCCTTCTGGAAGTCGTCAGATTGTAACTTCCATCATCGGTGTTTGATGGGGGATCAACTATCTATTGTGATTTTTAGACAGCCTACAACGGGCCAGTCGGTTCGTCGATTTGGTGGCCGATGGGCTTGCGGGCCACTAGATGGTGGCCCATGAGCACGTGGGCCACTTGGTTCTCCATTCTACTTCATGCGTTTGTCGACGTCAGATAATTCGAATAACGACGTTCGTCACCTTCTCTCCGTCTCGAGCTGTGTGTGGATACCTATAGGAATTTTTAGACGCTTACATAAGCCACCAAAAGTTAAGCTAGGAGAGGACTGTATCTTTGATTCTGTGTATAACTTTATAAGAATTAGATAGGGTAAGAGATCTATCATGAATAGGAGATTTGGTATCATCATGATTAGGAGTTTGAATCCTATTCTAATTAGGATGATAGGCTAGAGATAGAGTTTTGATTTCCCTATATATATTTTTCTATTGTTGGAGGAAAAACCAAGCAGATGAGAGAGAGCCAATATTCTTATAATCTAGGATTAGCAGAGGATGTAACCTGATTCAAGAATATTGTGCGAGAGACGAGGATTTCATAGTCTTTGTCCGTGCAAAAGATTACATCATTGGGACAGTTGTCTTCTAATCGAGGGTTTGGAGGCAGATTTTGGTGTTCCAGGAGTTGATTTGTAGGTTTTAGAGTGCTCTGAACGCGATGGAAGGGTTTAATTTTTCAGATTTTGCTCAGATTGGCCAGAAAGTACTAAAAAGTTCTGATGGTGATGACGAGACAGATCTAATGACAGATAGGGCAAACGAGTATGCCACAGATGAGACTGGCATAGACAATCATATGTGATTCTTGCAATAGATTTGTCAGTATATAATTTTTTAGAGTCATCGCGGGAGCAGTAGTTGGTTGGTGTGTAGACTCGAGGAGGACAGTGCCAAATTAGGTAGAGCTTGCAAGCACGCATGACTGAGTGACACACATACTATTGAAGATGTCGACATTGGACTTAAAGACGATGAGCGCTCATATTCGGTCCAAACCAAGTGATGGAGGAGATGGAGACATCTGGCTCGTAGAGTGAAGTAGGAGAGGTGCACTGATATGATTCGAGACAAGCGATGTAGGTAGAGTACGAGGACAGCAAGTGGGAGAAGGCTATTGTCAAGCTCAAGTTTGGAAGGAGAAGCATGGTTAATTTTCTTCTAATTTCAGAGGTGGCGAAGATCTTTTGGTGTGCACAAGAGAGGTGGAGGCGCTATAGCGAGACAGATGAAAGTGAGAGTCATAGGGTCATCCAGTTGGAGTGCTGATGATTCGATTTGAAGTGCGAAAGAAATAGAAGACTCTAGCAGGAAAGACAAAGTTTTAAAATGACAATAATATATCTTCAAGGGAGTTTGAGAATCAAATCCAAAGTGAAGATTGTTAGAATTTTGTCTTGGATTCTCTGTATAACTTCATGAGAAATAGATATGGTTAGAGATCTATCATGATTAGGAGATTAGGTCTCATCATGATTAGGAGTTTGAATCATATTCTAATTAGGAAGGTAGACTAGAGATAGTGTTTCGGTTTCTCTATATATATTCTTCTATTGTTGGAAGGAAAAACCAAGCAGATGAGAGAGAACCAATATTCTTGTAATCTAGGATTAGCAGAGGATGTAACCTGATTCAAGAATATTGTGCGAGAGACGATGGTTTCATAGTATTTGTCCGTGTAAAAAATTACATCATTAGGAGAAGGTTTCGCGGTCTTTGTCCGTTTAAAAGGTTGTAAGAAGAGGACTTTAGAGGGAATATAAGAGTTGATTATGTATGTGAGGTTGAGAGATTGAGAGACGAGAGTTGAGTGGTTCATATTGTGGTTCTCCCTGATACATAATAGATTTGTCGTATTGTTGCCCGAGGATGTAGGTCGAAGTTGGTCGACCGAACCACGCAAATCTCGGTGTTCTTTCTTTTTTATTATGATTATTTTATATCTTGTTGATTGTAGGTTGGCTTTCGAGTTGCGGAGATCATAGTACACGGGAGGACTAAAATTCCCCAACAGATCCTACCTTACTTTTTGATGGCCTAAAAGTAAAAATAAGCCATTTACCAAACATATTAAAGTAGATCGTAAGCTAAAAAATACCTTTCAAGCTACTTTGACCCCTTGCCAAAAGCCTTTTTTACCAGTGGGTTAATGTCATTAACTGTGCTAAAAAATCAGGTAGATTTCATAACATTAGCAATGGGGTGGGTAGAAACATTCCAGAGTGAGTACAAAGGGCAGTTACTGTCGCAGAACAGGCCCTCTCATCTACTCATTTTTCTCTTTAAAACCCCACTACAAGTCCGCAAACCTCTCAACCGCCCCCAAAAACAGGACAAACAATGGAAAGCAACAAGAGTGCCATTCTTGAATCTCTTTCTCCACGGCCACCCCCAAGCCTACCCTCTATAGACCCAATGGAGTTCCTCTCTCGCTCGTGGATTCCTTCCGCACCCACTTCTGCGCCCTCTCACCTTGTAGGGCCCATCGCAGAGAACGCCATGGGAGAGCTGAAGGATGGTGATGATGATGAAGAGGTTTCTGTTACTGGGAATCCCTTCACCTTTGGGAACAGTGCCACTTCTCAGCTTGTTATGGAGAGGATCATGTCTCAGTCTGTAAGAAATTTTGCACTCAGTTTTCTTTTTCCCTTCCATTTCTTGTGGGGATTATTGTGTGAGAATTTGGGATGATTGGGTAGCCTTAATTAGTGTATTAATAAATAGGATAACATGATATTGGGTTCCACATGCAAACAGTGTAGAATTACAACTGTTGATTCTCACCGTAGCTTAGGAGTTTTTGATGAGCTTTGATGCGCGCGGTGTAAGAGCTTAAGATGATATCACGACAATCTATATTCAAATCCTACTCGTCACGCATTTAGTACCAATCAAGAAAGTATTAGTGCTCAAGTTGAGATTTTGAGTCATAAAAGAAATGTTCAACTTGCGGAGATTTGTTAAACAGTTTCCGTCTTTATAGTTTCGATGCAGTAAGAGAGGTATTTAGTCCGTGTTAAGAGTAGAAAATTATTAATTCCCGCTCCTCACAAGAGTTTTGTTACAATAGAAGGGAATTTTAGCACAACATACCATTTGTTCCAGGCTCTATTTTTGAAGTGTTCTTCCATTTTCTATTAAGTTTTTAACGGACTGTTTCTTTAATGAGAATAAAAGGAAAGGAAAAAGAGATTCTTGCCGAATTTGGATGACTTGTTCTTTAATACTGCTGCTTGTTTTATAGCCGAGTCTCTCTCTCTCTCTCTCTCTCTCTCTCTCTCTACTTCTTCTTCCTTTGGCTTTACTGCTTCTCTTGTTGATTTTGGTTTCTTCCAAAACTTAGGAATATCCACTCGGAAACATTTTAGAAAAAGACGGTGTTCAGATCTTCCTTTGTCTTCTCTCATTTGAGAACAACAGATTGTAGTGTAGCTTCCGAGTCCAAGAGCATTCTCTAAGATCACTTGGTTCTATAAATTAATGGATGGGTGACATTTTTGGTTTTCGTGTTTTGTCTTGATGTGTATTATAACATTGTTGGATTTTGTTTGTTTCCTACTAATTAAGGAATGGATGTATTTGACTCGTCACCTCTGTGTAACACTCTCTGTTATTTTCTCTCTTTATTTCATTGAAGTTTTGGCCAAAAAACATGACACAATAAAAGAAAAAAAAGTTTTCTATTGATACACGCAGCCATTGACAGTCTATTAATGAATTTTTCCTAGTTTTACTTCACCTATTCTAATTGCCTTTCCTCATTAAT